CCCCAAAACCCCAAAACCCCAGGAGGTACGGTCAATAGAAAATAAAGAAGATTCATTTCTAAAAAATATTTGTAAAATTAAATGTAGCAAAGTTTAAAATTATGGGCTTCACTAGCAATTAATTAAAATTTTCCCCTCTGATGCAACTTCTTAATATTATTGAAGTCCCTCTTTAAAGTTTTCGAGAGGAATTTCTTTTACAATATTTGATCCAAAGATTTTCCCTCCATCTCTTAGGTCATTGGAAATTCTTTGCATTAATTCTCTTCTATCATCAAGTGAAATTGATTGTAAAAATCTATTAAGCATGAATCCTGAAACAGTCTTATCTTTAAATAAAATATCTCCTGAATTCAAATTCATAGTCTCTCCACTTTAGTTTCCAACTGTAAGCAAATGCGAGCTTTATGGCATAGTAGTAAATATCTGGCCGATTAAATTTCCTCCAATGTAGTCAATCAAGTATGTTGGTTGAAGTTCATCACATAGAATTTACAGATCAGTTAAAAATGTTGGAGAAGTTGAGTTAAGCACATAATGAGCTCCACACTCATCCTTTAACTAATTTATAGCTTCTTATCTCCTCACTATATTAATTACCTAAATGCCCTCAGATAAGCAAAGTCTCAAGAATTGCTTTCCTAATTAAGAGGTAGCAGAAGTTAGAACTACTGCTTTAGCTCCATGATTTTTAACAAGGTCAAGTTAACCCAATGCAGTAAGTGGGTTACCACTAGCATTTGCAGCTTTTGCAAGATCTTGACTGTCATCCAATACAATTAAAGTATTAATATCAGCCAGTCTATACTGACCCCAGGCTTCAGCTAAAAAACTAACTTTCTTTCCAATAAGATCAGATAATGTGTCTTCACCAACTGAACCAATTCTTTATGATTTGAAAATAGTGAAGTTCATTTCATCATAGGAATTAATTGCTGAATAAGCTATCTTAATTAGTGCTTATCCTGCTCCAGGTCTCGGGATGTCTTCACTTACAATTTAAAATTCTCCATCAACATTCTTTACATATTTGTATTACTGAGACTCTACCATTTAGATATTTTTTCATTTATTAACTCAGCTAATTTATATAAAAGCTTTTAAGTTTAATTACGTGGCCATGGGGTTTTGGGGTTTTGGGGTTTTGGGGTTTTCTATTTGCTCACTT